ACGGACGGCGGCCCCGACACCCCGGCCCTCCGCCGATACGCCGGGGGACCCGCGAGTCCCGGAGTCCTCGGCGTTCGGTCCCCCGCGAGCGCGTACGGTAGAATTCGGCCACTTTAAAACATTTCCTAAGATTCTCGAGCGGGCCCACGGATTCTGGTGAATGTTTTTGTGGGGACGAGAGTTCTGGCTCTGTCGCCGGGGCCGGAGGGTGTGGAGCGGCCGTGGCGTCCGGCCTCTGCTCACAGGGCAGCCTCCGACTCTGGCCTCGACTGAGCCTCCCGCCTCGGCCTCTCTCCTCGAGTCAGACTGGGATGACAGGCGTGGCGCCACCGACCGGCTCGTTTTTTTTTTTCTATATTTAGGTGTTTGGGCTGATATGAATTTCTTTTCAATTTCTTTTTTGAGGGAGGGTCTCACGTCTGGTGCCTGGCTTAGACTGCGGCGTGGCGTCAGCCGTCGCTCACAGCAGCCGTCAGACTCCTGGCCTCGCGCGAGTCCTCGGCCTCGGCTCGCTCCGCGAGGGCTGGGGCTACAGGCGTGCGCCACCAGCGCCCGGCTCATTTTTGTCTGCGTATGCATATATTTTGAAGTTGGCCAATTGAATTTCTATTTTCATAGAGACAGGGTGCTGGCTCTCTGTCTCAGAGGCTTGGGAGCCTCCAAACTGCTGACGCTCGCGGAGCTGACTCGCCCGCCCTCGGCCGCGCTGCGCCAGAGAAGTGCTGGGAGCACAGGCGTGTGAGCACGCGGGCGCCCGGCTAAATTTTTCCTGTGATATATTTTTATTGTCCAATTAATTTGTTTTTTTTTTTTTTTTTTTTTTTTTTTAGTAGAGAAAAGGTCTCGCTCTTGCTCAGGCTGGCCTCGAACTCCTGACCTCAAGCGATCCTCCCGCCTCAGCCTCCCTCCCGAGTAGCTGGGACTACAGGCATACGCCACCACGCCCGGCTCGTTTTTTCTATATATTAGTTAATATAATACATATATATTTTATGTATGTTAATTAATATATTCGTTGGCTGATTAATTTCTTTCTATCTTCATTACCGACGGGGACTCGCTCTTGCTCAGGCCGGCCTCCAACTCCCGGCCTCGATCGATCCTCCTGCCTCGGCCTCCCTCCCGAGTAGCTGGGACTACAGGCATGCGCCACCACGCCCGGCTCGTTTTTATATATATTAGTCATTATATTAGTTGGCCAATTAATTTCTTTCTATATTTATAGTAGACACGGGGTCTCGCTCTTGCTCAGAGGCTGGCCTCCAACTCCCGGCCTCGAGCGATCCTCCTGCCCCGGCCTCCTCCCAGAGTGCAAGGATGACAGTTTTTCTATATATTTTTAGTTGGCCGATTAATTTCTTTCCATTTATAGTAGAGACGGGGTCTCGCTCTTGCTCAGAGGC